AGAAATGTAATATCTGTAATATCTGTAAGATCTATAAAATCTGTAAGAAATGTAAGATTTCTGGCACAGTAATTTGAACCAATTAGAATCAAGTCACATGTATTAGAATTAGTACTTTTATCAAAATCGTCCTGATTCTGTGATTCCATAATCAGAATCACATGATCTTGTGCTTGTTAGAATCATCTTAGTGAGCTGAATCCAATAGTGGTTGTTTTATCCAAATTGGTTTGGTATATCAAAAGTTATGATCAAAAATGTATAAAACTCTTAATATTAACAATATGCAATAGGATTGAAATCAGAAAGTTTAAATAGGAGATTCACAGGTGGATCTTAGGTATGACAGCTAGTGTATAACCCTTGAGTGGAACCCTTAATTAGATAATAACTAAAATTATACATGTGACTAGTTGTACTTTTGTTGATAAACTTTGTATATAATTATATAATGATATATTATCCAATAAAGACAGACAGGCAAGATTGCTGCTTTAACATAAAAAAAAACAAATTTATTTTTTTAAGTTGCCTAATTTTAAAATTTTGTTATTAATAAGCTTTGAGCTATAAACCTATTACTTAAAGCATAACATTACAACTATTATATTAGAATTAATATTTTTAGTTTAGAATTAGTTATAAAAATGTAACTATATAATAGTAAGTAAAATATTATAGTATGTTTTTATCTAATTAATAAGTTATATATATATATATATATATATAGTTTTATTTTTTTATTAGTTTTATTTTATTATTTTTTTTATTCTTTTTATATTTAATTTTAAAAACTTTTTAGTTTTATTCTTTTTTAAAAAAAATGTTTTCAGATTAATGATTTGATTATAAAGAAAAATTAAACAAGTAGTTATTTTAATTTTATTTAAACTAATATAACAGATTATATTTAAATACTATAACAATGATTAAATAATAATAAATTAATATTTTAATAAAATTATATAATTATTTTATAAGATTTCAAGTAACTAAATAAAGTACAATTATTAAGTCATTAAATTTTATTTTTATACTTCTTAAACCTTTATAAAATAAATATATTTAAAAATTAATATTAAAAAATCAATTTTAATAAAAATTAGATTTATTATAATAATATTTATCAATATCCAAGTTTTTAAAAGAAATTTATTATAATTATAATACCATTTTTTTCTATAAATATTATTGGCTTTTAAAACATTATTAAATCAATATTATTAAATATTCTTAGAAACATTTTAATAATAAAGTACAAGATGGAGCCTTAAAATATGACTTACTCCTTTGTTAAGAATTTTAACAATAAAAGTATTCCACTTTCTATAGTCCTGAACATACTTTTTCACCCTTAGCCACATAGTCCCATACTTCATCGAAAGTAGGACCTCCTCTCTTGATTTTTTTATAAGGTAAGCCACAGTTGGTTACTGATTCTTATAGTGTGAATTCTAATAGCGTAAAGGAGCCAGATTTGGGTTCGATTAAAGACATATTACGAAACTTTCTAATTTTTGATTTGCAACTTTCGCTCGATTTTGTTTTAAGATTTATTTCCTTTTAAATTTTCGTTTAATTTATTTATTTAAATTAAAAAAAATTTAATTCAAATAAACTTTTTAGACTACAAATCAGATTACGTCTATTACATTTCTGTGTCACGTCTAATACCAGAGTTACATCCAAAATCTTAGTTACGGCAAATGTCTGTTATTACGACATACACCAGTTACAGCACTTTGACGTAACCACGTATCTTTTTGACATAACCACATGCCACCAAGTTTCTGCACCTATAATCATGATTATAAATTAGAATCATCTGACTTTTTTGATGGCATATTTCGATTAAGAAATATAAATTCTTGGCAACGCTGAACTTGAGATTAGCCAATTATATACAGCAATTATATACAGCAATTTTAGCTTCATCCATCATTGCCATAATCAACAATGCTTTATTAAATTAAGTTTAACATAAAAATCATTAAAAAGTGAATTTTTTACCATAACCGGCTTTAATAACTGACTTTAAATATGCCGACTTCTTTGACATACTTTACTGAATTTTAGAAATGCCCGATTGTTAAGTTTTAAATATTAATTGTCACATCAGGATTATTCGGATGCCGAGATTTTTAGTAGAACTGCCAGTGCACGTCAGGGTTACTTTTTTGATCAGTTAGCGTTACTATTTATATATAAATTCAAGAATACTATTTATGCGATGTAGGTTAACCTGGCTTTAACGGACTCCCCTAAAAAGCAAAGATCAGGTATATCATTCATTACTATATCTAATCAGATCAAGATTTTGTGTACGAACGCAAAACTCGTCCATTTCGTTCTACTACATTTGGTATACCAAAAAATCGCAGATAATTCAGAAACAGTATAAGAAACCACCTCTTGTGTAGGGTTCTCTAAGTGCCGGGTACGTACTATTAAAAATGGTGCCAAGGCCTGTTCCTGGCACTATGTTTTAATAGTGCCCGTGCCTGGCACTTGCAGAACCTTACTCTTGTGCTCTATCAAAGTTGTCGTTGGAAATTTTACTATTACAGATACACTCCTCTAACTCTAATCTTAACGAATTTTAATAATTTTGACTGTGTCACCAACTTAGTACACCTTTCCCCATTGCCCAGATAAACTATTTATCGGGTATGATGTAGTGGATCATGCTCAACAGAATAACAGCATTGTATGTACGTGGCCTTCGGTCACGTGCTTTTGCTATTATCCTTCCTATAGCCATGTATCTGCCCAGATAACAAGAAATAACTCAACCCTAACATAATATCACCAGCAAGGCGACTCTACTTGCCAAGCATATCATTATCATTAATTATAATTACTATTATTCCATAATATAAAAGCTGTATGATAATACAAACGTTTTTTATGCAATGATAAAAGAAATAAAGGTTATAGATTACTCATAAGACTGAACATCCTATGCATGTGAAAATATATGTAAATTAAAATTTTTCTTTTTCATATATCAAAAATATACATGCTTAACATTATCGATGTATCTATGAATCAACAAATAAAGAAAAACTGTATACAGAGGAACATACAGATGTCTTCTAGTTATATAGATTATTAATATTATTAATGATATTATTAATGATATTATTAATGTTATTATTATTACTATCCCATGTATAATATTACTTGTGTTGCGAATAATCAAAATTATGACTTAAAATAATAAGCCACCAAAGAATAAAGCAACTAAATAACCACTGAATAATTCCAAATTGGAAAATTGAACTTTTAAAGCAGCACCTGCACTAGTGCTTGATGTCGTAGCTGGAGCTTTGCTGTTTTTTTGAAATTAATTGATATATATGAAAATTAATTAAATCAATTAATTAAGACGTTTAAACTTTTTGAAAATACTTACCCGGAAGAAGTAGGAGAAGGAGGAGCCTTGCCACTTGGTTCAGGAGCTTTTCCAGTAGGAGCGGCAGCTGGAGCAGAAGCAGCCGGTGCAGGAGCGCCGCTACCAGTCGGAGAGGCAGCACCGGATGGGGCAGGACCTGCTGGTGCACCTGTTGGTGGTGGTCCACCTGGGCCACCTGATGGTGGTGGTCCACCTGGACCGCCTGATGGTGGTGGTCCACCTGGACCGCCTGATGGTTGTGGTCCACCTGGACCGCCTGATGGTGGTGGTCCACCTCTTTAGGGTAATATGAAATGTATAAAGATATTTTAGAAAAAACTGTATAAACCATTGAATTCTTGAAGTTATTAACATTGAAAACTTACTGTGCAAGAACACCGGTAGCAATGAAAATGCACACAATAAAGAAGATGAGTGTACTCTTAGTGGCAATCATTTTATCAAAATATAAATTAAATGAGAGTTTTATAAGTATTGACCAAAATTTAAGTTTTTGTCGTGTTTGAAAAGGGAGCAAGAACCCATATTTATAAGAAATCACGAACACAAATGAGATGATTTAATTCAACTATCTCTCTCAGTATATGTGACACCGTTGATAGATGTAATTAATTGATTATATAGTATCACCTAAGCTACTAGTTTTCGAAAATATTCGCACTCCCGCGTGTTGAATACAAATATATCAATGTGTATAAACAAGTATTATAAATTTTTTTTTTTTTTTTTTTACAAATATAAAATGAATGGTTTCCCAATTTACGTCGACTATTCATTGACATATATGTTGTTTCTTTTGAAACTTATAAAATAGTAAAAATTTTATATAATTTTCGAAAAAACATCAAATATTATATTATCACGCAACTCATAAACAAAGCTTTAATGTTACTACAAGTAATTTTGAGTTGCTTTTTTTGAAATACCTTTTCTTTAAAAAAAATAATATTTGTTTCACCAAAGAATCACGGTATTATTGTTATCGTTATTTCCAGAAAAAAATTAATGTTGTGCGCAATAACATTTGACCGTTGTTAATATGTTTTATAAATAAATTGTTGCCAAGGTTCAAATTTTATCTTAACTGGTTTGACCGGTTTGACAAAGTTGACAAATTTGTCTTTTCAAGTAGTTTTTAATTTAAGTAAGATAAATGAGGTATGAGTGACTCAAATTTAATTAAAAATCATGTTTCGTGAATGTTTTGGTTTCAATAAATTCAAGTACTCATAATACTGTAATAGCAATAAAAAATTAACAAAATTTTCTAAAAATTAATAAAGATTCGCAAGTTGTTTAATTAGTATTAGACAGCAAAAAACTTTTGTTTGCGTATAGAGTAATAGAACTTATTTCCCATATCCAAAAACATTTTGTAAATATTTCATTGAATTAAAAAGGATAAATATTTTACACAATAATTTTATATTAAAAAGCGTCCAAAAGAGTCATAGAGCAATAGAGCGATAGAGCGATAGAACAATAGAATGTCGATACTGATTGTAAAATTACCGTGTAATAATAAGTTGGATACCAACTCCATTATTTTTCCATCGATGAAAATTAAAGAATGGTACAGATTGATAATTTGGGTAACCGATTGTTTTTTGAACACGAACTAAGCAAATAGTACCGTTTTTTGATTCGAAATTTTAGTTACATTACTAAATACAAATCACAAATAATACTAAATATATAATATACCATACAAAAATTTTTGGTAAATAATTATATATTTAAAAATATGGTAAAACCATTTAGTTCATGTTTAAAGATTTCAGATTTCGTAGTTCATAGTGGCTAATTTAATTTTTATGCAAATTGACTTTGTTCTAACGTAGCAATATTTTGAAATAGGTTACAAATAAGGGGAATATTCTAAAATGGGCAATGTTACAAAGATCAAAAAAGGCTAGTGTTACAAATACGCAAATTTGTACAAACTCTAACCTTACCCTATATTGAGTCCTATCATGACTGTAATGTTTATGCATGCTTCGATTATAACGTCAGCAACTTGAATATTATCACAATGTGAAATGTTACTACGTATCATAAACTAATGCGTTTATAGCGAAATACTTATTTGTGTGAGTGATATAATCCAAAAAATGAAAATCAATAATTGCTTCCAACACGTTAAATTTCATTCCCTTCATTTATAATTAATGCTCCAAGACGGGTTTAAACACTCGTTTCTTATATTTTCGCTTTTTTCTTTTATTTTCCTGTTTTTCTTTCGCCTTGCTCACATGTCGAGATAATCACTTTTACGTTCTCCGATTGGCTAATTTACTTTTTGGATTTGTATCAGTCACACAAGTAAGTCACGCCGTTTACAGAATTATTGTCGTGCCTGCATAAAGTTTCAACTTTATGCAGCTGAAGTTAGCACCTGTATAAAGTTTCAACCTTAGATAGTTGAAGTTACATCTGCCTAATAATGCTAACTAATGCGTGTAAGATCAGTCAAGTGCAACTTTAGCTATCTAAAGTTGCACGACGTTATTACAAATTTGTTTGCGACAAAAATTGTTTTATAAAAAGTTGTATCGGTATAGAAATTAAACAAGCATATGTGGCCTATCTTGCGTGAATTTTAATCTATCAAACTCATGAATCAATTATCATAAAGCTTATAAAACTCATTTACAATAAACATTTCTCTAATTCCAAATTTTATCCCATTTCAAGTATCAATTCAAAGATTTCCAACGATACCCAACTGAATTCTCTCTCAAAATAGTGCATAAAACTATAAAATTAGTTATTTGACATTTATTATGTAAGCACCGAACGATTTTTGCGTAAGTTATTCGGTAATCTCCTTATATAAATACACAAATTTTCACTCACCTCCTAATAGGTTGGTGGAAATTTTGTGTGTTTGTATTAGGAGATGACCGAATAACTTACATGAAAATCGTTAGTGGTCAAGTTAAAAAGTTCCAGTGTAACATTCAATCGAAAGCGCAGTCACATGATATCCGACTTTACAATTATCCAAAAAATTCGAATTTTTTTTTCATACTTTATTTTACCTATTCTTCTTTTTTTATGTTTTTATTGCGGCGAATCTATAAAATTAGAGCAATATGACTCATTGTGAAGTGTGTCATTTATTATTTATGATATCTAACCCTTCTTTTTCATGGGAAGATAGGTTATACGTTATCTAATTGTTTTTACAATAAGAAATCTCAAAAAAAACAAAAATTAAAAAATGCACTTCGTAGTGAGTTTTGAGTATTAAACTTAATTATTTTTTAAGAGACAAAACCATTATTATTAAACCAGAATAAATAGTTAAATATATTCTAAAAATCAACTTGACTTCTAAATAACAATCGCAAACAGATTTAAGCCAAATTGTACAAATAACGTCTAATTATCGATAGAATATACTCAATTATATAACTTTAAAATTTCACAGTTCGTTATGCTCAGGGCTCATTATAAGGAAGTTCGTTATAAGAAGCTTCTGCTGTAATTGGATTTATAAACGAGTCTGCATTCATGAACCAATTAGCATAAATAACTAATTCGAGCAAAGCTATAAAAGATTATATAGTCCTACAATATATTTTAACGAAAAGAACTAATTTGTTCAAATAGCTAACTCTTGTTATAGCAAATTCGATATAATGAAGCATTTTAAAATGTTAAAGTATATCTAGTATTCTCTCGATGTTAGTATAGTGAAGATTTTTTCCCATCTTGAGGATATCATGTGACTGCGCTTTCGATTGAATGTTACACTGGAAC